CACCAATCCCAACAGTTAAGTCCTTGGTTTTATATAAAAAATCAATCGCAACTTAGGGTTAAGGTCTTATGTCTAGGCCACTTAAGTAGAGTCTTTATGCATGAAGTCTTCATCTCCTTGGTTTAATCACTCAAGCTGTGGGAAAATTTAACCTTTTCAGTATTGATTTTAGTTAAATCATTAATCGACCAAATTAATTTATTAACAATTAAAAAAACTTTAAATGATAAAACGGTTGGGAAACACCTTTTGCCATGTTTCAAAAACTAGCTAACTCTCCATAATCGAGCTAGGGAACGAGAATTTAGCTCATATTTAAAGGGTAAAAATAGAAAGTAAACACGTTGCAAGCTGAAAATATAATTATCAAGGAATTAAATAAGGAACAAGTTGAAATTAAGGAAACTTTGTAATCTAAATGAATGTCTGATAAGTTTGACTTTTTGCTGCAGAAACATTACTATCGAGGCATGTTTGACTATAAAAACGAACATTTTTCCTTCATTTTTAATTAAAAGTATTTACGTATTCTTAAAATAGGATATAAATTGCAATATAGGGTGTTTTGAGATAAATTGATATAAAACGTGGTCAAACTTGGTAAAACCTCTCAGATTTTCACTCTGCAGGAACTATAGGGTGTTGACACATTTTTGACTATTTATTAAAACGCTCTTTTTGCTTATGAGGGGCACGGAAGTCATCTCATATGTGATTTATTTTAACAAACTCAGCCCAATCCAAGTCAAATTCGAGCAGTTGGAAGAATCTCAACCCTTTCCTCCTATTTTGGTGAGGAGTTCAAACCAACTTGAAGCCGTATATAGGGAGAGTCTCCTCAGCAGTTCAAGCATGGATCATGATCTCTTAGCATCCATTTCATTCCAGTTTCAGCCTTAGATGATAGTTTAAATTTATTGTTCTTTTTCCTTTTGTTATTTCTTTGTATTTTCGAAAACCCTAGTCTCGTTACATTCTGTTCTTGCTTTAATTCAAGTTCAATTCATTTGTTATTCATTTATTTCATTTCTTCAACGTTCCTTAGTGAGTTTAAACTCACTTCAAGCTCAAAAGAGAAGAAGGTTAAGCTAGAACTCGTTGTATCTTGCTATTATTTAATTTAAATCAATGAAAATTATTTTTCTCATGTTTTTGTGCATTGTCCTTTCTCTTTGATTATGCACTAATTAAGTTTTCAACCTATCTATGGAATGCCTTAGCAAAAATTATATAATTTCAACATGGTCAAGAAAAAGTCCAAAATGCGCAAGTCTTTTCTTAGATTGGCCACTGGGAAATTGATCTTTGCACCGAAGTGTAATATTAAGAAGGTTATGTTAGGTAAAATATTAGGAAACTGAAGCCTAATGTAACACTTCAATGCTTGGAAACAAAATAGATAGGGTAAAATACACTTTTAGTTCTTGAGTTTGAAGATAGGTTTCTATCTGGTCCCTAAGTTTCAAAAAGTGACAATTTAGTCCCCGACCTTTAGAAAATGGTTCTAAATGGTCCCTCGAGGTTAAACTTGGGTTAATAACACTAACGGAATGCTGACGTGGCTTTATGAGTGAGATATTTATTCAATTTTATATTATTTTCAACTCGTGTCATTTTCTTTTTCGTTTTTCTTTTCCTCTTCTCTTTCTCTCTTTTCCCTCCTCCTCCCCTGTGATATTCTCTTCCACCTTCCATCTCTCTTCCTCTCTTCAAAATGTTTCCAATTTAGAGCACCTCATTACTTGACTTGTCCTTGTTGGGATGGATCCGATCACCTTCCGAAATCAAAGAAACCCTAGATGGCTAATTTATTCGCCTGCAATTTTCGACCAATCCAAAAAAATTTCAACTAAACAATGGTTAATTGTACAAATATATTTCCAGCTCAACTTAACTCTACAATAATTGCAAGTTTTCTGAACCAGATTCTACAATAATAATCAATTTTCCCAAAGCTTGAAAAGAGTATCAATGAAGATTGTTTCCCAACTTTCGTTATGGAGCTCTTGTGAGGCCTTTAATTGGGGCTTCAACCACTGGGATTTTATAGCTGTTAGGATCATATTTTAAAAATAATATAAAATTGAACAAATATCTCACTCATCAAGCCACATCAGTATTTTCTTTATTGTTATTATCAGAAGTTTAACCTCAGATACGATTTAGAATCATTTTTTAAAGGTCGGGATTAAAGTATCACTTTTTGAAACTTAAGGACAAAATAGAAACGTATCTTCAAACTCACGGACTAAAAGTGTATTTTACCCAATTAAATACAACTAATTAAACACACCGGTATTTTCCTGCCCAAGTCCCATCCTATCCCATTTCAGAATTATTTTAATGATTTTTAATTGTACCTATTGGTTCTCTCGTGACCAACCTCCCGACATGTAATATGTTTTAATTATGTAGTTTTTTTTTTTTAGTTTATTGCAATATGATAAAGTTGTGAATTCTTAAATATTAAGTTTGTGATATTTATTTATTTACACAATTTTAATATCATTAATAATTAAAAATTTTAACAATCATCTGTATTCTGTCATATAAATCAAGATTTGATATCTCTTTTATTTTGCATGACCATACAAATAATAATTTGATTTTATGAGTATGGTTATTACAGATGACTAATTATATAATAATTAATTTATAATTAAAGTCTTATTTGTTAATTTGTTTTTTTACATAATTTTTATTGATATTGACATTTTTATATAAATTCTAATTCTATTTTATATATGTGGATTAAAAATGGTCAATTATAACCCAATTAAACTACCATTAATTCCTTCATATAATTTCCATTAATTTTTATGATTTTCATCGGAAATATCCATCAAATATTTTCATAAAACATTCATATAAAATTAAAACATCGACATTTTCGTGGATTTTCACAGTTCAAATATAGGATACTGTGTTAATAGGATTAGATATGATTTCATTATTATGTATAAAAGGAAAAAAAGCAAAAGAAAATGAGAAGATGTTTAAATTATTTCAAAGAGTTTCCGTAAACAAAGTAGAAGTAGAAAAGAAAACTAGAAAAAATAAAACAATAATTAAATTGAATGGTTTTTTTTTTTTTGAGTAAATTAAATTGAATTAGGATTCAGAAATTTCCTACTTGCAAATACGACGAGGTGAACGGATGAACAAATTAAATACGGCAAAGGTGAACGGATGAACAAATTAAATACGGCGAAAGTAAACGGAAGAACAAATACAGCGAAGGTGAACGGAGGAACAAATACGACGAAAGTGAAGGGCGGAACAAATACAACGAAGGTGAAGGGCGGAACAAAATAATTTGAAGAAATAAGGTGTATGTTTTCAAAAAATTAATACAAAAATATAAAGCACTCTACCTCAAACCAAAAAGTAATATGTAGAAACTCAACATATAGGTCTCTCTCCTTGCAACCGTTCCCTCGCTCAATTCCATCAGTTTGTGCATCGCCTAACAAGATTTGTCTCCCTGATCTTGATTGTTGTCTCCCTTACCATACCCTGAACTCGGCTATAATTTTTTCTCATAGTCTTCCTCCCTAGTCGTCTCCCTATATGTGATGTATCCTTAAATTTGGTTAATTTTGTGTCAACTTATCAAATTTATAACAATAGTGGTTGAAGAAAAAAAACTAGAATGATAGAATTTATGAGAGATAAAGGAAAGTTAAAAGAGAAAGGGTAAAAGTGTAAAAAATAAACCTGCAAAATAGTTTGAAAAAATACAAACGAACATTTTTCATTATCAATAATTATTTGACCATTCTTCAAAACTGGGTGATAAATAAGGACCGCTGTTATAAATTCTATATAAATAAATTATTTTTGTAATTATTAAAAATTATTTTTTGAATATTTTTTCAAACCTAAGTTATTGAGTTTTAGAAATTGTGTTTTTATTTTACGTTTTTGTACATTTTTTTTCTTTAAAAAAGTTATCAATAAATTTTGTTATATCATATTTTTACAACATAATTTATTTTATTTTTATATCAATAAATTATATTACTATATTCTATAAACAAATTTAAAGGGATGAAAATGACAAAAAAGAATAACCTTAAATATTAATTAATTATATACAAATAATTAAAACAATGAATAGGAATAAAATGAAGAACGAATGTAATAGAAACACTCAAACAAGATCAAATTGATGAAAAAAACCTAAGAATATGAAGAGCTAAAATCAATTAAAAGAAACAATTAAAACAGGTATGAAAACTCTGAAAATTCTAAAAAATCGAACACTCGATTGCGAAGAGGAATCCCAACGAAGACGAAGAATCACAACTACGAATAAGAATGCACGCGAAATCTACTGAAGTTGAAGATGAAGCTGAAGCTGAACGAAGCAAAAAAAAAGATTGTGCACAACACGAAACTGCGAACGAAGCTACGAAGCAAAAGCGAACGAAGTAAATCCCAACAAAGAAAATTCCAACGAAGAAGAAGAACGTGTGCCAGATATGAATAATATTACAAAAAGGATAAAATTGTAACAGTTAAAATTTCGAAAATAATAATTATAATATTTTCTTATATTTTCAAATTTCAAAACAAGTTAGACATTTTTTAAATTATAATAGTTATCTTTGCAGACAAGCCATCCTTTATAGCCCGAGCAAAAGTTTCATTCAGAAAAAGCATATATCATACAAAAATATATATATATACACACACAATCTAACAAGAAACATGAGCTAAAGAAAAACATTGAAAGAAAATAAGAACTTTCAAGATGGAGATTTTTGGGCATGGTTCCAGAGGAAAAAGAAAAAGAAAAAAACATTTTTTCTTAGCTCTCAGTAGCTAACTTCCAATTCGGATGGGAGAAACTCAGAATTAGCTATACATGGTTTCAAACAAACTGAGTTATGAGAAGGTTGAGCTGGAGAATGAGTGAGACTAAAAATATAACAGAATCCAACCATCTCTTTGAAACAGCAACCAGAAGAATTCAAAATTTCGATACAACACGAGCATCGTAAAAAGTCATGTATAGCTTAGGTTGTCTCAACATTGTTCAGAATTTACAAGCAAACGATTAAATTTCTGGATATGGTTTCAAAACAGAGAAAAAAAAAAAAGCCAACAAAATGTATCTCAATGTGTCACCTTCTCCTACTTTAGAGAAGAGAAGCCTTTAATGCAACTAAACAGGAATAAAACTGAACCGATTCCCATCCCATACAAACAAATGACAAATATAAAATTCCTTTACCATCCACATCCTTTTTCAACTTTCTGCTGAATCAAGTTTAGCATGAATGTCATCATCATGACTTGTTTCTTACATTGCAAAGCTCTTGCATTTCTTTACCCTAGTCGGGAGAAGTGGATAGCACCGTTTTTCCAAATCTGCGTCTCTACAATTCATCTCCTTCCTCCGTAGCTTATGTCTTTACCACAAACTATACAGCACTGAGTTGCATGGGACAACGTTGATCCCTCAATTTACGTATCTACCGATGAAACTGCAATCAAACAAAGGGATATCACACGATCCACCGAAACCACGACGATTGCTCCCTAATGTCCTAATCTTTTAGGTCCTCCTAGGTAAGTGCTGAACATAAAATATAAAGAAAAACTTGTACTTGTATTGTATCAAAGAAGAAAGAAAACTTCAAGAAGACTTTAGCATAACAGCATACATAATAAAATATCTAGGAAAAGAGTTGCTCACATTTCTCATATGTATCCAGGAGGTAATAATTTTTGCCCCCTTTTCTTGGCAAATAGCAAAGGGAGGATCCAGTTATCTAACTCTATTAATCTGAGTCGGATTCCTCTGCCTGTGAGTTCTCATCTTCAAAGCATTCATCACCCGTCTCATCCAATTCGACATCCAAACCATCCTCCACTACCTCCTCGGTCGTGTTATCAAGCAAAATGCCCTCTTTTGCTATCAATGCAGCACCCTTGCCACGGTATAATAATCCAGTATTCATGACATGATAAAACTTTTCCCTTAGAGATGCCAAAGGATGTGGGTTCACTAGCTTTCCTCGCTGATACCCTTCCCTAATAGAAACAGTCGTGGTCTTACACTTCAAAGAGAGATAGAAGATTCCGGGATACCGGGTGAAGATTCGAGTGAACTTATGGGGAAGATTCAGTTCCTCTCTCAAGCTTCTCAAATAGTTTCGTTTAGTCTTCTTGTGAAGAGTCAAGCTCAAAAGCTCATGCAGAACCCCAACAACTCTTTTCTCCATGAGATCACTATTGGGATCAATCTGCCTACAGCTCTCATATGGAGAAATGTATGGTAACTTCTGAAACTCTTCCATCCAAGCTTTTACCTTCTTTTGAGCTCCATATCCCCTTGGAAAACTCATTGGAAATGCCAATGTCGTACGCCCCCTTTTAAATTGCCTATATGCATCTCCGGATTCAGAGTTCTCATTACTCCTTTGCAAAGCAGAAACTGCAAATTCGTCGCGCCACTGCACAAGCCGCAAACACCAGTCGCCATTTGGGGCCTTAACTAACCGAAAATGATCCGGATACTTAGGAATCAACGATCTCTCAAAACCACATGGCAAACCTAGATCCCACTCCAAAGGACGCAACGAATGAAGTGGAAGAGCCCTAGTTTTCATCATCATAAGCATTCTACAGAGCCTTTCGACAGTATCGCTCTCGTGAACTTGGTGTATACTACTCTCTTGGTGATCTAGGAACATTGCGGTTTCCGTCAAACGAAAGCAAGGCAAATTAGCGTAACGAGAATGAGGAAATTCGTGAAAGAGAGTTGGGTACCTCCGGATGAATCGAAGAATGGGGATGGTGAGGCCGAGCAGCTTTTGCCAATCCGCGATGGATTTAACTGTGATGAAGCCAGTGGAGGAGCGTTTAATGGCATCCTTGAGGAGGGAAGCAGCCTTCAAATCGGTCTCCATGTCGATGATGTGATCGAGGCTTCGATTCTTGACCCACTTTAGTCGAACCTTGGCTATTCCTCGCCATTGATGATGCAGAAAAAGCTTGGGGCTCTGGTACAGCGGTTGAAGATTTAAAGTGAAAAACAACAGCCTGTTCATTTTGGAAATTTGGAAAATGTTTTGATACGGCAATTGGGGTTTTCGGAGCTGCTGGATGAAGAACTCCACCGAGAGAAGAGAAATTGGAGAAATTTGAAACTCCAAAATCCAACCTATACATCATAACTTCAATTTAAGATTACTTTATTTTAAAAGAAAAGAACTCCACTGAGTTCAGCAAACATAAACTCATAAAGCAGTCTAAGAGTCCTCAAATTTCAGCAAACATAAACTCATAAAAACGGTCCAAGAATACCCAAATTTCAATCAGCATAAACTCATAAAAATAATCCACGAATCGCCAAATTTCAGCAAGCAAAAACTCATAAAATAGTCCAAGAATCTTCAAATTCCAGCAAACATAAACTCATGAAAACAGTCCAAAACTTCCCAAATTTCAGAAAAACATACCCTCGTAAAATCCCCATCAAATAGCCACAAATTTAGAACCAAAATTCATACAGAGCATTCACTCACCTTGCTGTAAATGGAGATCTATGTTCGCGTTGCAGGGGAGACGCGTCCGGGCCTACTATTTGTCGCCGGAGAGAGAGGACAGAGGCACAACGGGGCTTGCTGTGAGTCTGGTGTTCGTCGGGGAAGGATGCTACCGCCGCTGCTCGGAGGACGCGCCGCCGGAGAAGACAGGGGAGGGGTGACTGACTGGAGGCTATGGAGGAGAGAAGAGAAGGTGGCTATGGCTAGGGTTCTTTTTCTAAAGAAGAGAGAGAAGAAGACGGGTCCCTTAGAAAACAATTTTTACCCCAAAAAAAAAATTATACCAAGATGGGATAAAATAAATTACAAAAATGTTATTATTTTTTTCTCGAGGGCGGTAGCAGGAGAGCCTCTTGCCGCTGTTTGCAACCTCAAATTTAGCGGATTTTGAAATCATTTTACTTGTTTGGATACAAAGAGGAAAATATTTCAAATTCTAATTCTGGTTAAAATATTTTTTGTTTCAAATAGATCGGATTTGGGAGATTTTAGGTTTAAATGCAACGAATTCCGATTTTGTCCTACTATAACCTCCTTGATTTGTACCTCCTCAACCAAATTAGTTTCAAGTTTTGATTTATCATAATTTTTTTCTTTCCTTTTTTTTAATTCTAATAACTATAAAATGACTCTCCTTTCATTATTATTTTTTTTATCACCATTGAAATAAACTAAGGTTGATTTTCTCTTTTGTTTTTGGTGTAGTTAATTTTTCTTATATTTCAATATTGTTCAGATCTTATATGTTTATGTTTATGTTTTTTTTATATTTTTCTTCTTTTATTCTTTTGATTTTATTACCGCATATTATAGTTTTATCTATGATATCATTTTGTAAATCTATTACTTTATTTTGCTATCAATCAAAAGGCAGGTAGAAAGAAAAAAATACAGAATGAATTTGATTTAGCGAAACCACAATGCTAGTCGATGGCAGGACGAGGCTAAATGAAATACGTTATTTTTATTCACTTCCCAAAATTTCTATTTTTGAAAGAAACATGAATGGATGAATAAAAATTTCTATAATAATGAGAAAGGCATCTAACTTATATGATATCTAAAAATCAAAGAAGTTGTAATCTGATGACAAGGGGACTAACCATCAAAGACGTTATGAACAGCGGTTGTACCCAGATCGTCACACCTTCCATGTGTGTGGGGTGGAACTTACCCAACAAACTGATTGTTATAGTTAATACATATTTCTGACATTGATTTAAGTTATTTTTGTTTTGTACTAATGTTAAATTGATGAAAACAAGAGGTTTAAATACCCAATATGTAAATAAGAAAAAAAAAGTGTATATATAAATAAAAGTTTAATTAAGTTCAAGTGTAGAAATATGATCGAGATTAAGATGAAGAAACTGGGAGAGAAATTAAAAATCAAATATTATATATATGGAGAATGACGTTGAGAATGAGAAAGGAAAAAAATACTTTCGTGGAAAATTGTTTTTTTTAAGACAATAATATTCATTGTAATTTAATAACTCATTTATAATTAAATGTTTTATTTTTGTGACATTAATTTATAACCATGGTAATGTTTATAAGTTAGTTGTAACCGTTAAAAACATTTAATTTATTTTATAACAGTACTTTGGTCTCACTCATATATACGAGTCTGCTTGTTTGGAGGAAGAACGATATATAGAACTACAAAAAGTTTTCCACACGTTTTTACCATTTTCTCTTTCAGTTCTTTACAAATTTTTGAGCTAGTTCTTCAATTTCAATTCACCTGACGAGTATACGTCTGAGTTGGATGTTGTGTTAACTTTGAGAGCAACTGGCGTACATACGATTTAGCATCGCTGTTGTGTCAAAATTGCTTTTAAGGTAGTGATTCACGGCACAACAATCGTTTTCATCCAAATTTTCCTTCATTTCTAACGAACGAGATGGAAGAAGAACTCCAAAAATATGTTGTCTGAAAATAGTTCTTCACAGAGCTTGAAGAAAGAAAACAAAAATGTTTCTTTTAGAACAGAAGATGATAAAAAAATTGTATATCATTTAATGTGTGATTTCAATGATTTGGAGGATCTTTTAACTGTCAAAAGTAGTGGGATTTTACTTCAAAATTAAATTTTAATTTTAAATGTGGTGGCTTAGCTTGAAGGGTAAATTAGTAAACTTCAATATAGTATAATTTAGTTTTTTTTATTTATTATAATGTATTTTTTAAAGAAGTTAGTTTAAAATTATCAAACATTGTCTCTCTTAATTATAGTAATGACATAAGCCTGCCCATTTGTCTATTAGTACCTAATTTTCAACTAAAAAAAATGGCTTAAATTTAATAGAATTTAGTGAAAGGAAATTGTAGGCCACTCTAATTTTTAACACATCCCTTTGATGTTAGAATTAAGGCATATTAGAATTTGGAGAAATTACACGAAGCACGGGTTGACTATAGAGTTATTACAATCGCACTTATAAATTTTCAATTTGATCGGCCACCCTCTAAATTATACAATTATTGCAATTGATCTCAACCATGATAACATCGTTAGTGATAGATTGCAAATCGCACAAACCATCTCCTAACTATACGAATTGATACAATCAAACATCTCGAACTATAGAAATATTACAATTTAAGCTAAAATTTTTAATTCAATAAAATTGAAAAACTTTAGAATTATTACAATTTAATTAAAAAAATTAATTCTATAACCAAACATAGAACTATAGAATTATTATTACATTTAAGCTCATACTTCTAAGATTAATATTATAGTTTCAAGTTTTATAGAATAAAAATTTTTGGGATAAGAGAACTTGATGTTGGGAAAAATCCCCTAATTACACAAAACACTCTTTCAAAGCAAATACTGCTCAGTTAACTAGAGCTAGTATATCAGGCTTGGCTTAAAGTATTTCAATTGGGATGATTAAAACCCAAGCCCATGAGCTCCTTTTATAGTAGTTGAAACACATCTCTTCCTTGTACTTTTCCGATGTGGGACAACTTCTAGCACATGGACACCATGTATTCTTCCAATGTGGGACAACTTTAATTCCAATATTTTGCCAAAACCCAACACTTGAGTGGTGAGATACTTATCTTCGATCAAGAGATTGTGAGTTCGAATCTTTATCCCCACATATTGTACTAAAAACTTTTTGGGATAAATTGTAATAATTCCATAGTTTGAACCGTTTGATTGTATCAATTCTCAAGTTGACAGGAAGTTTATGCTATTGGCAATCTATCACTAACCGTAAACTAATGGTTGAGTTTAATTGGCAACAATTGATGATTAACAAACTTGAAAATACGGTAAAATACATTTTTGATTTTTGAGTTTGAGGATGAGTTTTTATTTAGTCCCTAAATTTAAAAAGTTGGTAGTATCCCAACCTTTAAGAAATAATTCTGTTATGGTGAACAAAAACGACCCGAAACGGGACAAGGAGTTGAAGTCTGAGATCATTGATTGGGGAGATCGGCCCGTGACGTAAGGGGCCGACCCAAAGAACGACCTAATGTCGGGGCAAAGAACGAGGAAAGTGACTGGCGGAGAACTAACCGTCCCGAGAGGGCTCGGCCCTGACCCGTGCTCGGCCCACGGCCCAGCCAACGATCCCCCATCTTCGATCGACGATTTCGCCCAGGCCTTGCAACGGTGAATTAGGGTTAGCTATGGAAAGTTCTGGAACAACTTCACGCTATAAGTAGCGATCCAGCCTTAGAGGTAGGGGCATCTAAAAGTTGACTACATTTACGCTATTCTCTTGCTAACTTAAGCATCGGAGCCCGTGTGACTAGAGTCACACCGATTTAGCTCGATTTGGTTTTGCAGGTACCAGTCCCGAATCAACAAGTTTGGTGGGTGCGAGGAGGAGAATCGGAGGACCGAAATCCACGCATCAACAATTGGCGCCATCTGTGGGGACGATTCAAAGCATCCAGTTGAGCAACATGACACCAGAAAGGAGTCCACGACGCTCTGATGATAATTGCTCTGCCAAGAGGAGGCTGAACTTGGACGACCCCCAGGTTGGAGGACCCGAGGATGGGACCAGCCAGCCAAACCCAGAACATCAGGAGGGGTTGCCCAAGGCGCATGCACTAACGACCCCTGAGCCACTCCAAAAGCAGTTCGCGGTCTTGGAAGACAAGGTAGAGGGCATGCTTCAACGCATGGCCCAAGTCCTTCGACAATTCGAGCGACAAGAGTCCGACGAAGTACCCCTTGTCAGAGAGCCGAGAAAGGGGAAGGGCCCAGCGCAAAGCGAGACCGAGGAGTCAACAAACAGTGCAGGGAGCAAGTTGCGGATAGGTGGAAATACCAGGCGACGAACCCGGATTTTCGACTCCCAAAAGATGAAAAAGCAACGTAAATCCCCGGCACCAAACTGGGCAAGAGCGACCATGATAACAGAAACTCTGAGCCGATAAGTCTCGACAAAGGCAAACCGACAGATCAGCCAGAGTCTTCGGAGAAACGACACAACCAAAAGGAGAAGGGATTCGACCTCGAAGAACTACTGGATCAAGCCGACTCACCTCCTCCACCCTCATAATGATGCACTGGTTATCACTTTGAAAATAGAAAATGTGAAAGTACATCAAATTTTGGTGGATGGGGGCAGCTCGACGGATATCATCTCCTTGACAGCCTATAAAGCTATGGATCTAGGAGAAAATGTGCTTAAGAGCAGCCCAGCACCACTGGTAGGATTCGGAGGGGAACAGGTCATTCCCGAAGGAAGGATAGAGTTGTTGTAACGTTCGGAAGTGGGCCGAAGAGTGTCACCAAGATGGTGGACTTTTTTGTCGTTAACTACACATCCTCCTACAACGCAATATTGGGAAGACCGACAATGCATATGCTCAAAGCAATAACATCCACATATCACCAGTCCATGAAGTTCCCAACACCGGGTGGGGTAGGAGAGATTAAAGGAGAACAACGAGTGTCGCGGCAATGCTACTATACCTCAATGGGGGACAACAACAGGACTTCTACTAAAGGGGGCTGTTGACCTCTTCCTTCAAATGTGGTTGTTGTTGTTTCTCTACTTTTAGCAAGATTTCTAATTATTATTTCTTTTATTCAATAAAGTGTCCATTTGTTTGGTTCTCTGTCAACTATATCTCTTAAATCCAAAACGAGATACCGACGACTTTGATAAAACACTTTGCCTCGTCTACAAGCGTACTCTCAAAAGATAACGACAATACACTTGAGAGTAGGGGGCAATAGGTACCGACTACAACTACTCAACGACGTAAGCTTGGTAAATCCAACTCTACACGGCGACGGTAAAACCAGCTATAGCCGAGCAGGGCTCGGGACCGACCACTGTTCGGCGTCGACCAAGTGCGAACGGGCACAAATCTACATTAATCGGCGGTTTTATGAGATAGCCTATTTTTGTCAATAGGTCTTATTTTCGACTGAGCACGGCTCGGGTCCGACCACCACTCGATGTCAATCACGTGCGACGAGGCATGAATCTACTTTAATCGACACGTTTGGAAAGAACAATTAAACAATCTCAACACGGCCAAACCAGAAGCGGGTCGATTGACCTAGCACGGTTAAAACATGAGATAGAGTAAAAGGCCAAAAACAACAGCGGGTGTAAAAACCGTTGGCTATGACCAACGAGTTAAAAACCAGCGTCGGGCTTGAATAAAGCGACAGACCTCTAGGGAAAGGCAAGGTCGAGCCCTTGTTATCGACTTAATCCGACCACCCTTGATAGGGGAGAACCAGTGACGGGCCTGAATAAAGCGACAGACCTCTCGGGAGAGGCAAGGCCGAGCCCTGGTCATCGACTTAATTCGACCACCCTTGATAGGGGAGGATCGGCTGAGGAGGTAGAATCTGTCCCTTTGACAGTCGAAGAACAACGGGTCAACATCGGAACCAAGTTGGGGAATGAGGAAAGAGAAAGCCTTATAAACTTCCTCAGAAGCAACGCTGATGTGTTCGCATGGTCACCGGAGGACATGCCGAGAATCGATCGAGGAGTTATGGTACATCGACTCAACGTCGACGAGAGCTGTAAGCCAGTGAAACAGAAGCGTCGCGCGTTCAACCAAGAAAGGAACGAGATTGTAGCTGAACATGTGAATGAGCTACTGAAAACAGGCTTCATTCGGGAAGTACATTATCCCCAGTGGATATCCAACGTAGTGCTGGTAAAGAAGCCAAACGGCAAATGGAGAATGTGCATCGACTTCACGGACCTAAATAAGGTCTGTCCAAAGGATTATTTTCCTTTGCCTCGAATAGATCAACTGGTTGATGCCACTGCGGGACATGAAAGATTGAGTTTCATGGATGCCTACTCTGGATATAATCAAATCAAGATGCATGTACCGGATCAGGAGAAAACCACTTTTGTCACGAGTCGAGGCTTGTATTGCTACACCGTGATGCCGTTCGGATTGAAGAATGCAGGTGCAACCTACCAACGAATGGTGAATCGGATGTTTGCAGCCTTAATCGGCAAAAATATGAATATCTACATATCTACGACCTGAATATCTACATATCTACGACCAATCAAGAAACTCAAAATTGGGACGGACCTAGAAGCAGACCGATAAGCTTAAAGCCAATCAGTGAAACCAGGGAAAAGAATCCCGAGGTGCTGAAAAAGGCATGCGTACAGGCCCAGCAAGGTTAAAACAGAAAACAGGCAAGTCTAACCGATCAACGAAACCCACGGGTAGAAAATCATATGGCAAAAGCCAAAATAGGTTCAAAACCCGAGGGTGTTGATTTAACTTGGGGTAAAAAATCGGTAGAAGCCAAATATGTTAGAAACCTAAGGGTACCGACTAAACTCAGGGTATAAAAGCCATTGGCAAAARCCAAGTGGGTTAGAAACCCGAGAGTAAACCCTGAGGTATAAAACATGGGCAAAAGCCAAATAGGTTAGAAACCCAAAGGTATCGACATTAGTTCTGTTAAAGTTAGATCCCAAGGCCCAAAGTAAATGGTTTAAACTCATATGAGAATAAAACCAGGCTCAGGAGACTTGATTATGGTCAACGAAAATTGGAAAAAACTTCCAATTCATGAATAGTATCGACAAGTTCAAGGCACAAAACCAGTGGCAGGAACCAAGTACTAAAATCCAAAATTAGATAAAAAGCTTTTGGTAGAAGCCCTGTGCGTTAGCAACCTTCTCATTTTTACCCATTGATATACAATGATCTTGTGGTAACGACAAGCGACAAGTACTCTCAAAACAAAGATCTTTACACAATTATTCGTCTTCTGTTTTGAGAGTGGGGGCCATTGTTATGGAGAACAAAAACGACCCGAAACGGGACAAGGAGTTGAAGTCTGAGATCATTGATTGGGGGAGACCGGCCCGTGACGTAACGGGCCGGCCCAAAGAACGACCTAATGCCGGGGCAAAGAACGAGGAAAGCGACTGGCGGAGAACTAATCGGGCCGAGAGGGCTCGGTCCCGACCCATGCTCGGCCCACGACCCAGCCAACGATCTCCCATCTTCGATCGACGATTTCGCCCAGGCCCTGCAACGGTGAATTAGGGTTAGCTATGGAAAGTTCTGGAACAACTTCACGCTATAAGTAGCGATCCAACCTTAGAGGTAGGGGCATCTAAAAGTTGACTACATTTACGCTATTTTCTTGCTAACTTAAGCATCGGAGCCCGTGTGACTAGAGTCACACCGGTTTAGCTCGATTTGGTTTTGCAGGTACCAGTCCCGAATCAACAAGTTTGGTGGGTGAGAGGAGGAGAACTGGAGGACCGAAATCCACGCATCAACAAATTCTAAAACGTCCGTGGAGTCAAACTTGCTAGTGTGGCAATGTTTAATGGGTAATTTTTAGGTGACATGGATTCCAATTCATTATGATGAGTACACATCTAAGTTGGGTATTGTGTTAACCTTGGGGAGCAACCGACGTACCTACAGTTTAGTACTGTGGTCGTGCCGAAATTGCTTTCAAAGTAGTGATTCTTCCACGACACAACAATCATTTTCATCAAAATTCTCCTTGATTTCTAACAAACGAGATGGAAGAACTCCAAATATATGTTGTCTTCCTGATCAATGATAAACATTAAAATACAAAGATGAAAATAGTTCTTCACAGAGGTTGAAGAGAGAAAACAAAAATATTTATTTTGGAACCAGAAGATGGTAAAAAAAAAATTGTATATCATTTAATGTGTGATTTTCAAGGATTTGAATGACTTTTTTTCAGTAAAAATATGAGAATTTAAATTTATAACCTCTTGGTTAGAGAGATAAGTGTCAATTACCGTTGAGCTCATGTCGGTCAAAAGGAATGGGATTTGATTTCAAAAATAATTTTTAATTTTAAATATGTTACTTATAGCTTGAAGGCTAGATTAGTAAACTTCAATATATTATAATTTTTTAAAATTTTGTTACAAGGTATTTTTTTAAAAGAAGTTAGATGAGAGGGACAATTTTTATAACACCTTCAATATATTATAACATTGTCTCTTTTAATATAGTAATGACATAAGCCTGCCCATTTGTCCATTAGTACCTAATTTTCAACTAAAAAAAATGGCTTAAATTTAATAGAATTTAGTTGAAGGAAAATGTAGACCACTCTAATTTTTAACACATCCAGTTTGTTGATAGAATTAAAGCACCCGTGAACTATCACACTCATAAATTTTCAACCGGAGTCTTTGTTCACCCCACCCATCCAACGACTCTCTTTCCGATTTTTTTTTAAACAATGTTTTTATTTAAAATTATTTTTAAAATAATGCTACATTAAATAAAATTAAAGAAAAAATGCTTATTTCGAAACTTATTCAAAAAATAATACTTTAAAAATTATTCCGCCACTTGGTTGTCTCTAAGATACGACCATGCCGTTTTTAGTAGTTGGTCGTCTCTTCAATGATTTTTTAAAAAAATCAAGACATGGTCAAGAGATAACCATCTGTTTTTCAAGGAAAAATTAAATACTATTATATATTATATATTAAACAGTAAAATGTCATACTGGATATCCGTTGGTAGCACAGTGAATGTTAAGAAAGAATTCTTCCTTCTCTTCGTCAGTTCGGGCCTCAATAAATGCACTTTTTTTCATTTTTACTTATTGTTATTATTATTTTCTTGAGTACATTATTATTATTATTATTTTCTGGAAAACAATACATTATTATATTTTATTTATTATTTTTTTAATAAACTGTGTATAAAATATATAAATATATATATATAATTATTATAGTTTTCAATAATAATAATAATAAATTGATTAACATTAAAAAGTAATAAAAATTGAGAAACGCATCTTGCGAGGGTGGAACTCCAAAAGTCACTTATGCAAGGGGAGTAAAAATCTACTGCACTGCAACTAGATTTAAGTTATTGAAACAGTTATCTAATATATAATATAAAATACTATTTTATTTTTTCCTCGAAACTCAATGTCGTTGTAGTTGTCTCTTGAAGGAACGATCACATACCAGCAGATGGTCGTCCATATCTTGATTTTTTTTAAAAATCAGATGTGGTGCCAATAGAGCGTCACGTCATTATGCTCATCTCTAGAGACGACCAACTGCTGAAAATGGTATGGTCGTCRGGGAYGAAAGCAATATTTTTGGAATAAGTTTCAAAAGGAACATTTTTTCTTTAATTTTATTTAATGTTGCATTATTTTAAAAATAAGTTTAAATAACAAACATTATTTTTTTAAAAAAAATTCCCTCTCCTCCCACCCATCTAAATTCTCACATTTCCTCTCTCTCAAATTATATCCTCCTCTCTTTTTTCAATTATAATAATAATATAATCTATAATCTATTTAACTTTCTTCACTATTACTGTGGTGTTAATTTTGTTCCACCCCTATGAATTTCTCTCCTCATTTTCTCATTATCTTTCCAAATATTTTCTCTCCCCCTCTACAAATTCCACTTTTCTCAAATAATTCTCTCTCTCAGAAACTTCATTTATTTCCCTCTTAATCATTTCATTATTTTTTCCTCATTCACACTATTTTTTTCTCCACTTATCCAAATTCCTTATTCAAATGATTATTTATTGAAGTTTATTTGGAATTTGTAAAGATGGAGTAATAGTACTTACAAGAGAGAGAAATTTAGAGAAATTTAGACGAATGGGATGAAGAGAGAGAAAATTTTGTAGAGATGGGGAGATGATATATAGAAAGAGAGAAAAAAATGAGAGGAATTGAGAGAAAGATTTGTATTTGAACCATAAAATTACCTTCAAAGTAATAATAATAAAATGAAAATTTTCACATGCATCACACTGTTACCCATTTAGACCTTAACAATTCATCCATTTTTTGTCAAAAAAAATTTTAACAAATTTTCTATGAAAAGATGCAATTGAGAAAATTTTTAGCCATGAGGATAATAAAATTGATAATTTTAAAATATTAAAAACCAAATTGAGGATTATCTAATCAAAAGTTTATGGACGATAATTTGGTCTATTTAGCCTAAATTGAGAGGGTAACAACAAGTATAGCTATTTAAAATAGGTAATTTCAAATGATRGTCAAACAACTTTCGCTTTTGAATAATAGTCAATCAAGATCTTTACTAATATTTTAGGTACGAAATTAGCCTCTTCTAAAATAATTTTAAAATGAATGTGTTATTTTTGTTTTTTTATAGAAGAATCCTACATAATCATTTTTATAGGATAATTCAAATATATTTTTTAATTCAAATATTTTTCCAATCAATTTTAGAGAGAATTATACTAACAAATTTAAGGAAAAAAGAATATATAATAAACATTAATAAGCAAAATGTAATTATAAATAGAAATACAACAAATGGATGAACAAATACGGCAAATACGGTGAATAGAGAAACAAAAGTACAACAAATATGGTGAACACAAAAAAAAACAACAAATACGGTGAAGAGAGGAATAAATACGGTGAAGAGAGRTGTATTTTTGTGAACAATTAATACAAATACAAAAATATAAAAATAAGGAGAGATGAACAAATACGATGAACAATATCAACTGAAGAACTACAAATAGTGTGAAGAAATAAGGTATATTTATGACAAAACATATAGGCCTCCTTCTCCTTCCAATAGATTCCCTCTCCGATCGTCTCCTATCTTCTTAATTCTGTTTCCACATATATCTAACTTTATATAATAGTGGTTGAAAGAAAAAAAAACTAGAATTAAGGAGGGTCTCTACGAGAGATAACAGAAGTTAAGGAGAGTCTCTACGAGAGATAACAGAAGTTAGGATATTTTAATTTTAAAACTAATAACTAAGGAGCAGTTGCATTTTTAATTACCAAAGATGATTTGACCATTTTTGGGTGACAAATAGGTACTATAAATTCTCAAATTTAAAGTTAGATTGGGTAGCAAGAGGATTTGGTCAAAAGGAAAAGTTTAGTCCAAATTTAACACATTATTCAACTAGAATTAATACATATTCAAAATTTGACAACTATTACTTCCTTTCTAAAAATTAGCAACTTACCRAAAAGAGATGTTACACCAATCTTTTCAAAGGGAGAGTTAGAACCAAAAAATTTATATGGAATAATGCGCGGCTCGCTGCGTTCTTAACATAGATGGATAACGTAGCTTCAAATATGTGTAATAACATACAATAACATGCACGTGCACTAGAACTACAATAGTTATGACTAAAGAAATATATATTTTTTTAGAATTAGATACTAAAATAGGAACCAAAATAAATGCCACATGACCATTTATAAACTCAATCGTTAAACCATTTATATTTCAGGTTGTAAGTTCGAATCTCCACCTCCACTTCATATTCGTGGTGTTATATTCGCAAAAGATAAATAGATAAGAGTCAAAATGAAATAGGATAGAAAATAAAATTTAAATTTTCCAAATTTTAAGAGATAATTACTAACTTAATTGATGGCATTTCTAACCTGATTTCTTATTCTAATTTTTGAACTATTATGACACTTTCATTTTGATATATCATATCTAACTATATACGTCATTTCTCTTTATTATGATTCGACTAAAACCAAATTTACAAGACTCAACATAATCCATAGAGTTAAATAGGATTGCTCGAGTTTTTCTAGTAACTAATCCAAAATTTGCAAACTCCTTTATTTCAACCCCTCGAAATAAAAAGATTGCTTCGATGACAATAACCGACCTAAACAAAACTCAAAAGGGCCAATTTCACACTCTTTAGGTTGTTGCATTAGGGTATAATCTACATGACATAAAAATGGCAACTGTTTGGCCAATAACCAAAGAAAATTGACCACATTTTCAGCTGTTGGTAAGCATGAATGAGAAGGCAGAAAGAGAGCCCCTTTGCAAAGAATTAAAGATCAAGAAAATCACCTATAAAAAAAAATTCCCATTCTTCTCAAAATCTTACCTAAACTTCATCTCCTTTTTCCCTTAAAATCTCTCACACACTCTTTCCCTCTCTTTTAACAAAATCAAACCCATTTCCCATCTCAAAACCCTTTGTTTGTTCACTTACTTTTCCCCTTGTTGCCCTTTTTCTTTCCTTTTTCTTACATTCCTCCACGGTCATGGAGACTTTGGCTCTCAAACCTTTCTCCGTCGCGCCGACCGGTAGGCGCGGTTGGCGGTCTTCATGGACGACGACGAGGAGGATGCGCGTGGTTGCGTGCAACGGCGCGTTGAAACCTTCGGTCTCGATGGAAAGGGCGTCGGTGGTGGTACGGGCGGAGCATGGCGGAGCGGTGATGGAGGCGGCCGAGAGCGTGGTTTTGTCCCCGCCGAACAGGAAGGGCGAGACCGATCCGATCGGAGTGAAGAGTTTGGTTCCTTATGGTGGGCTGGTAGAGATTCACGAGGATGGAGGAATTGGAATTGTCAAATTCCTTAGAGGGAAAGTGTTCTTGATTACTGGTGCCACTGGATTTCTTGCAAAAGGTACTCTTTCTTTTTGCATTCTCAACAAATTACCACTGGATTTTGATTAGTGGAAATTGAAAGAAAATTGGGCTTTTAAAAGCTATTACTTAAAATAGGGGTAATGACAAAAATATTGGTATTTTTGGCGGGACAGAAAATCGTGACTTCCAAACACAATTTTCACGCCCATGTAAATACCACATATGCCACCAATTCTTTAAAATGTTTTTAAATACTTAAAAAACAAAAAATAGTTTTAAATTAAAGAACTGTTATTTATTTTTAAAATTTGGTTGGTACTAAAAAAAGTATGCTATAATGAGTGAAAATTTTAGCCTGAAATTATTAGTAAATAAGTTTAGTTTTTTAAAAATAAAATTGAATTCAAACAAGCCTTATCATAACTATATATATATATATTTTTTCTTTCTATTTAATAAATTTCTCTTTTAATTTAATATAATTGAAATTGAAATTTCAGTTCTTTTAGAGAAGATGTTGAGGACAGCACCAGATGTGGGTAAAATTTTTGTTTTGATTAAGGCCAAAGATGAAGAAGCTGCAGCAAAGAGGTTGAAAAATGATGTATGTATTAATATGTTTATTTCTTTTTTCCCTAATTATTCAATGTTTAATTAAACTATCCTTTTTTTTAACTAGTATTATAATTTTAATCTTCATAATATTTCGACTCTAATGCCAATTTATTCTCCATACCCGTAAAAGTTTAATTCTCGTTCAAGCTTCCTTATAAAAATTCAACTAGCTAACCAGTTATTAATAGTGAAAATTTATGTATAAAAAGTTTATACTACTTCCGTTCATTGTTTGTCATTAAAAAATGATGTGAGATCCATGAAATAAAATAATATATTACTTAATGATATGTCATGTCAAGTTGTGAATGAAAGGAGCAGTAGAACTATAATTTTTTTTTTTTTTTTGAGAAAAGTAATACTAAAATTTTTTCGTTGTACTCATGGTATAGCTTTTATTTTGATGAAGTACATGATCACATTAATTGAAAAACATGAATTCGGGTCAAGTTCTAGAAGACATGTGCATGGCAATTTTCTCAGTAAATTAAGAAATTGGTAATGAAACTTTTCAAAATGAATGTAATTTAGGGAATTGAGGGAATTAATTAATAGTGGGAATTGATTAATGAATTTTAAATTTTGATTCTTGATCAGATTATAAATGCTGAACTTTTTAAATCTCTAAGACAAATCCATGGGAAATACTACATGTCGTTCATGGAGAGCAAGTTGATACCTGTGGTGGGGAATGTGTGTGATTCAGATCTGGGACTACATGTCGACTTGGCTCATACCATTGCAAATCAAGTTGATGTCATTCTCAACTCTGCTGCCAATACAACCTTTGATGAGAGGTCCCCTTTTATTTCATTGTGTTCTTTTAATTACTTGTTTTTTCCTTCGTTAAATATATGTTTTAATCACTAATATTTAGTTATTCGTGTTTTAACATTTTTCCGTTATACCCTTCACATGTTGGGTAATTGTCAAAGTTGACTAATAATAAACTTTTATAACATGATTTTAACACGTTGGTAGAAATTTGAAAGTAATTAGACCATTATAAGAAGAAAAGTTTAAATTTTTGCCAGGAATTTGAAGGAGGAATTAAACACTTTTCTCTTTAACATTCAATAATTGAAAAAATGTTAACACGTAAGGAATTAAATTGAAACTTATTAAACAATAGAGACTACATTTAAAAAAACACCCCCGATGCCGAGCTACTAAAGGAGGTAGACCTTCGGTGTCACCTTGAGGGAAGCCCACCAAAACGGGCCAAATGGAAAAAGTAGACTTCTGGATGCCCGCTTAGAGGGAGAGTTGGATGGGCACACACCGTCAGCTATATGGAAATGGAGCAAATGGAATACTTGGCAGCAGGTGGTGGGTTTTGGGGATGGTCCCCGTAGCATGTTGCCACCAGAAGCAGAACCCCATGTTTCTTCTAGAGAGCAACGTAGAATAAACATATAGCCTTTTATTTATTTATAAGTATTCTACAAATCTTTCTAATGATATTTAACTGTCATGGAATAAAAAATATTAAGTTCATAGTTTTTATATTTAAAGCAATTCAATGTTCAAAAACCAGTTAATTCAAAATATTTTATTAGTTCTTAAATTTTCAACAAAAAAAAGAAAAGGACTTTTTATATGTAACTAATTTTCATGAAAAGTTGAAAAAGAATTTCAAGTATTATTAAAATATTTTATCCCAAGCAAAAATTAAAACCTTATCCCATTTTAAATTTTTGAATGTTTTGTTTTGTCTTTTCCTTTTTAGCAAAATTTGAATATTTTGTTGCCTAAATGACATTTTTTATTTATTTAATTTAATTAAACTATTTTTGTTACCATATGAACTTGTAGATATGATGTAGCCATTGACATTAATACAAAGGGACCATCCAATCTCATGGGATTTGCTAAGAAATGCTCAAAACTAAAGCTCTTCTTGCAAGTTTCAACAGGTAATTAGTTCACTTTAACCATCAATTTTGATACCTATTTTTATTTGCAAATTATTATTATTATTATTTGGTTTTCCGTAATTATTTATTTGTTTCTAACCTTTCTCGATAAAGAATTTTTATTCAAAACATCGGCCTGAACATATTATTAACGCATATATAATCGATAAAAAAGTTAGAGGTTCAAATCCTCCCTTCATATATTAAATGAATAATTTATTATTAGTATTAATTAAATAATCCATTAAAATTTGAGTCATTTATATATTAATTTGTTCAATTAAAATTATACAATATTATCAGTTAATTATTTAGTATATCTTATCCCAGAAAAGGATTAGGAAAAAATTATGAATTTGAACCGTCATTATTGTTCTGGAAAACCGAAAACAAAATGTTATAAAACAAGGACTAAAGTAATTGAACATTTACCCCTTCTATAAAATAAATTTAGAGTCGGAGTATGCTTATTTATTTATTTATTTTTGATACAACATGTGGAGTTGGAGGTTCAAATTCATAATCTTTTGGTCAGAGATATGTATCTTAACCAAGTAAACTATGTTCGGTTTGGCGAGTGGAGTATGGTTTTTATTTAATGTTATATATTTGAATGTTATTTTTTTGCAACTTAGTCCTAAGTGAGTAGTTTGGGATGTGTAAAAATACAGCATATGTGAATGGGGAAAGGCAAGGGAGAATAATGGAAAGGCCATTTTGTAAGGGAGATACCATTGTTTCATTTGCAAATGAGGATTTGGATGTGGAGAATGAAATCAAGTTGGCTTTTGATACCAAACAAACTTTTCAAGACAATTCTATGGCCCAAAAGATGAAACAATTGGGCCTCCAAAGGTAAGCCCAAGCCCTTTTTTTTCCTTTCTTCTTNGATAAACACGATCGAGAATTTTATTACATTGCCTTTTATATATAATATGCAGTAAAAATAGCTTTTGTTGTGAGGTAGAATATTAGTGATATCGTTTAAATTCATTAAAGGCTCATTTGGTAACGTTTTCGTTTCTGTTTCTTTATTTTTAAGGAACAAAAATGAGTTACATGATTTCAATCTCCAAGAATTTAAGTAGGATAAAATAATATTTTTATTTACGTTTTGGAACAAATTGGAAATGAGAACAAGAAAATAGAAACTTGTTTTGATTGTTCCCAAAATTTCTATACTATTGTAGGAATGTTCCCAAAAAATAAGAAACACGAGACACAGTTAATTGTAAAATACTTAGATTTCTTAACAAAATTGAAAACAAGAAACAAGAAACGAGAACATTACCAAACGGACTTTAAGTGTGTCAATCTGTGTTTTTTTTTTATAACTATTTTTTACGGAAAAAAATTAATAAAAAATAATAAAAGAGAAATAAAGAAAATTTCACACTCCCCACAACAAAACAAATTTTACAACATATTATAGATAAAATAGAATGAAAGAGACTCGAGCTAGATACCTAATGTATATGTTTGTCGTAAATGACTCATTTATAGCAAAAATTATAAATTTGTTATATTTAAAAAAAAATTCAAATTTTGTCCCTTTTAAGCCACTATGTTCTATGTTTTTCAAAAAAAAAAAAAAAATTTGCTATCAAAGTCAATCGAACTATGATTTCTTTTTTAATAAAAAAAGATTTTTCATGATTCATTATCAATTATATAATCCAAAATAAAAAATATTTAAACATAAAGAATGGTAAAATTTAGACTAGTTTATAGTTCTATATTTTGAAAAATATTTTCTTAAACTATTTCAATACTTTCTTTGTATGTTAAGAAATAATACTTCGTTGTTTTTCAATTAATTTATTGATAGCATCATTTCGTTGATATTCGAATCGATATTGACATTTAACTTTACTGACTATATGGTATCGAATCAGAGCGAAAAAGTTTGGATGGCAAGACACTTACGTATTTACGAAGGCAATGGGTGAGATGGTAATTGACAAGATGAGAGGAGATGTTCCAGTGACCATAATCAGACCAAGTGTCATTGAAAGTAGTTTCAAAGAGCCCTTCCCTGGTTGGATGGAAGGAAATAGGTAAATTTTATTCAATTATCTCTTCCCTCCCTTTAAATTAAATTCATTTCACTACTCTCTTTTTTTTTTCGATCAATAAATTGAAAATTTAAATCTATGAGTCGTTGAGCTAAAAAAACTTATAAATATTATGTGGGGGTGACGTGGCAGAATGATGGATCCCATAGTTTTGTACTATGGAAAAGGACAGCTCACTGGGTTTTTGGCAGATCCTAATGGAGTTCTTGATGTTGTAAGTTTTCACTTTCTTTCCTTTTTTCCCTCTTCTAGTTTTTTTTTTCTTTTTTTTCTTCATGTACTAATTAAATTTTTTAAATGGAAAATAAAAATATAATATTGCCTTTTATTTTATTTTTTTATTTTAAAACCATGTTGTGTTTGGTACAAGTTCTAAAGATCATAGACATTAAAGAAAGAAAGAAAAAAAAGTTATACCAGAACTTTTTACCCCAAAGAAAAAATGGGACAATTTTCCCATTTTTTATAGGCTTAGAATTCGAACTAAATAAAAGGACTTAGGGAGAATGAATTCAGACCTATAATTGCCACCTATCTAAGAATTAATGTTCTGTTTATTTTCTTGGCAACTAAATGTTCACGTTTAACTTTTAAAATATTTTGAACGTTAGGTACCAGTGGACATGGTGGTGAATGCAATGCTAGCAGCGATGACGAGACATGGAGGAACTACACGGCCCGGCATCAACGTGTACCATGTTGCATCTTCCGTTGCCAACCCATTATCCTTCCAACATCTTGTTACCCTCCTCCACCAACACTACGACTCTTCGCCATGCCTCGATGCCAATGGTAGGCCCATCCGTGTCCCCTCGATGAAGCTTTTCCACTCCATCGACGACTTCTCCGCCCACCTTTGGAGGGACGCGGCCCGACGCCGTGGCTTGACCCCCAATGGAAAGATCTCTGAGAAGCTTCAAATTATTTGCAGAAAAACAGTTGAGCAACTCAAGTACTTGGCTCATATTTACCAACCTTATACCTTCTACAATGGAAGGTATGTTTCTCAAAACCAAACATACTTATAATTTTATCTTTTTGTTATTTTGGTTGACTGAAAATTATAGCTTTTGATTTTATTGAGTCAAACATAAACTTAAAAAGAAAAAAAAACTTTTATAATCTCAAATGTTGTTACTCTGAACTAGTTCTAAATTCTGGTCGATTTCATTTTGACATCTTAACATTACCTCGGTTAACCTCTTATAAGGCTTAAATACATGAAAATATCGACACGTTGGACGAAAATTAAAAACCTTGGAGAGTGATTAACCAAAAAGTAGATCAATTTGTGCAGGTTTGACAATAGCAATACTCAAGGGCTGATGGAAATTATGAGTGAAGAAGAGAAGAGGGAGTTTGGGTTTGACGTGGAGAGCATTGATTGGACGGATTACATCACCAATGTCCATATTCCTGGCCTAAAGAGGCATGTCATGAAGGGCAAAAGAGGAATTAACTAAATTAATGTGTACCTAAATTAAATGTTTCTCACCTTTTTTTTCTTTCTTTTTCTCAACAAGTTGGTTAAGCAAATCCAGTAACTTGTAATAAGAATAATGTCTATTTGGGTTTTTTTTTTTTTTTACTTCCAAAAATTTGGGATCATAACAAGTCTGATCCTAAAGCAGTGTAATTAAAAAGTGTTTATTGAAAATTTTCTTGTTTTAGTTTTGAATCTGAATGGATGAGGCAGACATGAACATAACTTAATTAATATTAAATTATCAATAATTCTATTAATTAGCAAGGTTAAATATTGAAGTCTTTTTTTTTTGAGTACAACATTGTGGGGGTGAGGGTTCGAACTCATGACCTTCTGGTCAGAGATAGATGCCTTAACCATTTGAGCTATGTTCGGTTTGGCAAATATTGAAGTCTTAATATAATAGAAATACCAATGAAAATATCTACCAAATAAAATATTCATGTCAATGAATATTTGAAAAAATTATTAAAAAGAAAACATTCTAAAAAAATAAACAATAAGTAATTAGTATTTTATCCATTTATATAAAATAGTATAATACCACGCTCAATGTACATAATATTCTTTTTATTTAATATTTTACAAACGTAAATAAAGAATTTTAAAATATCACTATTTATTGAAAAAATATATCAAAAGTTAAAAGTTAAAAAATATACTTTCTAAAAAAAAAGTTAAAAAATATATGTTTATAAATTAATAGAATTAATAGAACTCAAGTTTGTTGGTGGAATTGGAAGAAAAATCTACTTTATATTTTATAAAAACTTATAAAACTTTTAAAATTTAATCTCAATTAAAGCTCTATAATCAATTATAATTGAAGATAATTTTTTTTTGATATAGAAGATAAAATATTTCAACTAAGTGAAATGACATCACATTCAATATTGTTAAATTAATTGAATATTTTAAAATTAATGGAAGATAAAATATTTTAAGAAAGTGAAATAACAAAAGTTTTTGCATTCAATATTTTTAAATTCCAGACATTTATAGGTGCATTTAAATTTTCATTTTTCAATCATTATATTTTAATTAATAAAAATAGGATTAAATTTTTATAGTTTTTGCATCCCGAGCTTATAGCTTTTTTAAAATAGATACTCTTAATTAATTTATTTTTTTAAATAGGATTAAATTTATTTATTTTTTATTTTTACCATGTTTACTCTTTATTCCCTATTTTTTGTTTGAATGATTTTTAAATTTTACCAGCGCGAGTACAAGCCTAACCAGTCTCGACGGCCAAGAGGTAATCATTAAAAAGAAAAATTTATTACCAATTTTATTTTGATAAAATCATGTCGGATTTGGTTAAGAATTTAAATCTAAATCCGAAAAGGAAAACAAAAGAAAGAAAAGCTGAAAAGAAATATGGGTTGGAAATGCGACACAAGTCCTACCTTTACTAAATAAGGAGCAAATCATGTCACAATTATCCCTGTTGATACAAGAATTTTTTGTGAAACCAAAAGAAGGGTGGTAAGGATTATGTCCAAAACCAACCATAAAAAGAGTTAAAAACAGCAACAATAATTTTTTAAAAAATTAAAAATTTTCAATTTCAATAATTAATTGGGGGCAAAATTTGAACTAATATTGTGATTAGTGTTCCAAGGGTTTTCTGCACAAGGGGCAGCAATTGCGCTTCTTCAACCAGGTGAGGATGCATGATTCATGATACACATGACCACACGGCATTCTACTCACCCTCTCCTCGCCGTCTCCGTCGTCGCCGCCGCCGTAGAGTATCAGTTCATTCAAACAAACGCTGCAATCTCCCCATTCTTCAACATTGAATCCTTCCAACTCCTCATCCTCATATTTCCTCAGCCTCTCAATCGCAATCACCGACGCTAATCCTCCCGGAAGCACCATATCCTCCTCCACCATTGCGTCCCTAATCTGTATACGAACGAGACTAGTGACATCGCCGGTGGAGGAGGAGAACATTTGGATGTAATTGAATATCGCCCATGATATAGACCTCATCTATATCTATATCTATATCAAACCACTGACGATGTTTTTTTTTATAAAGTATCTCGGGGGTAGAGATTCAAACTCACCACCTTTTGATCGGAAATAAGTGTTTTAAGAACAGTTTTATAATATGCTTTTCAACCTCTTCCAATTAAGAAAAGGAAAAGTTTATCCTATCGTTCCACTTGTACCACTTTCTTTTAGCATGCTTTCAAAATTTAGTTTGAAATACGATGTAGGTTAGATTTTAAATTTCGGAGTTTAAAATTTAATTATCACTTTAAATTATGAAAATGTTATAGTCCTAAAATCATTAGGATCTGACCTTAAATTAATCCATACTATAAAAACAAAAACAAATTTGTTTTGGTTTCAAATCTAACTCAAATTTTATATAAGTGTTTTTCTGAAAATAAAAATAAAATAAACTTAGAAAGTGTTGAAATTTGGAGATCTTCTCAAATTTTTTTCTTTTAACGTAAGATCTTTACGAATTTAATTCTACTGTGTTTGTGATCTCTACAGTAATAAATTTGATTCAATACAATTCAAAATAAAAATAAATAAAAAAAAAACTATTTTTTTTAGATGAGGATGAAGATCATGTTTCCGTAAATTATTTAAATTAAAAAAAAATGCTACACTAATTTAAATAAAGAACAAGAAGGGAAAAAAAAAAGAGCTCAAGATTTTGAAAAGAAGTAAAATTTTGATAAGTAATATTTCTTCCCATTCAAGAGTGATTCAAAGTTGACTGTATGTTTGGCAGACTCGAGTTTGTTAGATACAAGTATTATTTGTTTCTTATTTTTATTATTTATGAATGATTAATATTAATTAAATTGAGTCTTAATTTGTATTTATTGTTCCACTACTATTTATGAATGTGTGATCTGTAATTGTTATTAATGGTTGAATCGAGTAGCAAGGAATTAATTCAGGGGTGTATTTATGGTTTTTCCATATTCCATATATTGCATAACACACTTTAGGAAAACAAAAGGAAAAAATTAATTAATTTACCGCTATCTCAAATTAATTATTTTGGTTTAGTCATTAAAGCTATTATTTGATTAATATTGGAACACTATCATGCTCGATTCATTAATTAATAAGTGTTTTTTAGTACAACATGTTGGGGAGGGATTCGAACTCACAACCTCGTGGTTGGAGGTATATGTAAATTATCGTTGAGATATGCTCGCTTTGACCATTAATTAATGGGTTTTTATTTCGATTTTTGGTCTAAATTAATTAAATTAGGATAATTAGAACTTACCATGACTATTTCGTATAAGTTGACTAAGTTCTTGAATTAAGAAATCAATTTTGTGTAGAACATATGAACAAGATTACTGAAATTCACGTAGATGGGAAGTTTGGTAACATTGATTTTCAAAATCAAATTTTTAGTTTATAATTTTAAATTTCAAATTTCAAATTTCAAAAATCCCTATTTTATTCAACTTTGAAAAATTAATTTTATTGGTTCTTTGGATTCGACAACCTAGTCTCATTACTTCTATAAATTATATGTAGTAAAATAGATAATTATTTTGGCGGGTCTCGACAACCTTCACCAAGTAGGATGAGCTAAGTCAAATTCATGTTTATTTGTCAATTTGATAAACCTAGATTTACTACAATCCCCTGGTTTGCTATAGTAATTTATCTTTACTCCTCAAGTTTGCTATGGTACTTTATTCTTACTCCTCGGGAAAGTAGTTTTCTTTTTGCCAATGTTTAGATTTGGTGTCGCTTGTCAATGGTTGGTTTATACTAATCAATTGCTATATTATGTGGTCATTTCTTGGCGAAGATTCTCCCTTCATTACCTCAACCTTCATGTCGTTTTAATATTTGAAGCATAATTTTGAGGAGAATCTCCATTTCAATGTTAGCTCTCGGAGGCAATGTTTGGTCATTGGTCCGTCTTCTATGAAGAATTGGAAGGATCAATGATTTTTCGTAGGTGGTGATGGGCTTGCCCAAGATGAGAGAACGAGTTACACTTCTCGGTCTCGACTGCATGTAGGGACTTGGGTCAGTATCTTCCCTTGCTCTTTCAGGACTGTTAGCTTTCTCTCTCATTCACTAACCTTACTTCTTTGTTTCTTTTCAGTTCCTTGTCATACGGACCTCACACCTGTTGCCTAGGCATTTTACGTGGTTTTTCATCCTATTGGGAAATTAACTGACTTGAATAATTTCTCTTTCCACAGAAAATATCCGTAAACACAAATAAACGACACAACAAATAGTTCACCACTAAGGGCTACGTCCAGTCTTCCACTCAGATGTGGGTAATTCACTAATATTGTTAAGGATTTGATACAATAACATTCCTTAGAATATCCCTTAGAGGTCTCAACAAAAACCCCGTAGATTCTAAGTATTTTACACAATTAATACTTAGGAACAGTAATGAAAAACTCACAATTATCAAGATCTAATTACCCTGAATATGTTGATCTTGATGAGCCTCAATGCCTCTGCCAATTTCTGAGCCTCTCCCTTGAAACTGCCACGAAACCCTATGAAAAACAGCTCAAAATCCGCTGGACAATAACCCCTTTTCAACTACAAAACCCTAAACCCAAAACTGCACTTATGTAGATATCAAAACAGCGCCATGATGCTACAGACGAAAAAGTTTGAGCGATATCCCCATCTGGACAGTGCTGCGATGCTGCCTCCTTGGCCCTCGGCCTGCAGCGTTTTGCTTCCCTGTTTTTCATCCTCGCTTCGACCTCAACGCGTTCGGCTCGATCCCGACTCTTCTCTAGCTCATTTCGACGTCGTTTTGACTCCACGAATCCCAACACATCCAACTCTACCTTTAGCAATAGAATTCTAGCCTCCTATCTTTCCATTTAGGTATTTGCATAAGCTCAGGTTGTCGTAATATCCTAGGTGGACCATGTGACCTTGTGTACTCCATAGGTAGGAGTGGTTATCTCCATCTTCTGGATTACAGTTGCAGTTACCATACTGTTGATCTCTTGATTAGGGAAAAGATGATATTCCACATTTCTATGTTGTCGACTTTGAGAGCTAGTCGGATTTGACTTAGTAGCGTTAACTAGGTTGTTGTGAAAGTCCTTCATTGCCCTAATGCGGCCACACATCTCGTCCAGCTCTACTTGCATGACTGCAAGCACGTCTGGATTTACTTAGCACGTAGGGATAGGTGGAAGGTTATTGTGGGTAGACCTATGCG